CACACACACACACACACACACACACACACACACACACACACACACACTCTCACACACACCCACACACACACATTTACAAACCTCCAGCACCGATTGGCCTGTGGGCCTTTCCAAATGAAACATGGCAAAAGCAATTATGATCTATAAGGTGTCTTTGATGTGGGTGGAGATGTTAGCATTAAGGAAGCTCTGTCTCGTTAGGGAGAAAAAGAACGTCTGCTGTATATAAGACTCCCACAATGAAACGTGGATGTTTTCAATCAGTGAAGAAGAGCGGCGGCAGTGAGCTTAACGTCTCCTCTCGTTCGGCAGACGTCTTTGTGTCGGAGCCGCGGATCAAAAGCCACTTTTAGATATTCAAGAAGAAAAAAAAAAACATTCTTTTCCCAAGGAATTACTGTTTCTAAACTCTCATTCAAAGGCCACAAAGAGATACATCCTCAATCACTGCAATTTAGAGATAATGCTTAATTATAATTTTGTCAAGCAGCGCCTGAAGAGGCCCCTCTCTCTCTCTCATCCTCCCGACACAGCGAGCTGGAATTATCAAACTGTCAGAGCTCCGCTGCTTCCATAGCACCATCATTTGAAACCACAGCGTGATGTTAGGAAACAGCAGGGAAAATACTTTTTTCCCCCGTTTAATTAATGTTTTATTCATTTGCTATGCTTGTTTAAATTTTTTTTGAAAAAGACTGGAGTGACTACCATGAGGAATTACAGCTAGAATGTACTTCAGCAGTGTAGACCACGTGTAGAATAAAGACCGAGCAATTCAGAAATCATGTCGATATCCAAAGAATGTAAGAACACAGATCCAACTATCGGGATCCTCATCTGTCAACGAGTCCTTCACACACCAGGGACAATTCTTTACTGCTATTAATTCACAGGTCAATTTATTTGAACTGTTGAATATATACATGTATTACAGAACAGTTGTATATATATATTTATATATATATATATACAACTGTTTTTTTATACAACACAGAACACAAATATCAACTGTCGAAAAAAAAAATACTGTAAAGAACTGTAAAAAAAAAGAAAAAAGAAATACAACAGAAGCGATAAAAAGCTTTATGCAGCAATGACAACAACTGGAATGTAAAAATAACAGAACATGCATATTTGACAATAAAAGGCTCTTTTTTAATACAAAAGAACGATGTGAACATTGCCAACAGCTTCACACAGCGGAGAGCAGCAGCTAAAATACAGCATATAAGAAATACATGATGTAAACCAAACATCGAGCAACAACCAACAAGTTTGAAAAGGATGATGATGTCTGTGTTGGTCAGCCGGTGGTGCTTCTTGTGTTCTCTGTGGCCGCTCTGGTTCTAGTAGTTTCCATGGATGTGCTTGTTATGCGCTGATGATGCTGCACTCCAAGGTGAAGGGCTCCCAATACATCGCTGCTTTCCCACCAACGCCGCCGCTCACTCCTCTCTCAAAGTGGATCACTGTGGCCCTTATGCTAATGAGCATGGGGGTGGAGATGGTGGAGTTGGGGGGGGGGGGGGGGGGGGGATAATAGCAAAGAGGGAACAACAGTCAGAGAGAAGGCTGGGAGGGGAAGAGGGGGAGGAAGGGATGGAATGATCATGCCAAGAGGCTAAAGCTCCCTAATCTGATCAAGTCAGCCAGTGATACACAGAGACTCTTTTGTCCTGGAGGTGCAGGCCTGGGTCGGGTCAGGGAGTGGGGGGGGGGTGATAGCCATCATGGAACTCAGACAACATGGAGGTGGGGCATGAATGAGAGGCTAGACTGAGCATCCCTCTTTTTTTGTTGCCCCCACCCCCCCCCC